CATTTCATAAAATGTTTTATTACTTTTAAATTATTCTTTGTAATCTTTTTAACTCTGTACGTCGTCACTTGTTACTGAATCTGAAAGTCTAGAGTTATATGGGACAGGAAAGCGCAATTTCGAAAAGGAAAACTACAAAAAAATCAGAAAATGTAAATCAGATTGATGAGGAATATAGTTCAGTGAAATTCTGATTGAATTTGTAATGATTATTGAATGTCATATTAATAGATAACTCGTTTATTGAACCATTACTACCATTAAATTACAAGATATTGTAAAATGCTCAGTTGAAGCACAGACAAATTAATAGCAACAGATTTATCTGATTTGCAGATATATAGAGGTAGATAGATATACGTATATATACAGATCAGTGTCTGCCAGCTGACCTTCAGCACCGACCCTTTGGGACACTCGGGAATAGCGTCCTACTTACGAAAAAGTACTGAGTAAAATACAGTCAGTAGTTTTTTCTTTTTTCAACAACCATAGTCTGAATTACACACTTTGCAAACGTTTACCCAATGCGTACCCTTACCTACATGAGACTATATGTATTATCGAGTTCACCTAAGACATCCTGGATGAATTTTTTTGAATAATCCCGAATGATTTCCATAAGGTTATTTGAATAAAACATACTCTCGTTTTGCCTATTGATTTGATAATCCAAATTGCCACTGGAAACGACTACGGACTGTGTTTTTGAATCTCTTTTGACAAGTCGCGATTTAAAACCTATGGTTTGCATTTTGCGCATTAGGATGTCGGGTTGTAGTGTTTGGCCGTAGTGATGTTATTTCTAACTCTTTAATTTCCTCTATTTTCGTGAAATATACCATCATTGTCTTCTAATATTTAAAATATTGCTTACCATTTGCATCTTGCGATACAGATACTTAACAGTTTGTTTATGTACAGTTTATAATGGTAGTGTATCCGGTTCTAGCTTAGTGAATGGTAGTCAAATGAAAGGTTGACTAGGCTTGACAAGTATATTTAAGGTAAAAAAAAAAAATCTTTAGGAAAAAAAAATACGATTTACATCACAATACAGATTTAGATATTATTCTGAAAAAAATACTATGTTCATATAATGATGATAGTGTTCTAGCCGTGGATTTTTTTAAGAACTAAGATTCAGAATGAGCATTTCATGTTTCTAAAGATTTTAAATTATGAAAATCGAATAATTAAAAGAGATGATCTTAAATATCAGAGACAAACAGTGTTATTACAAAAAAGATAAACACGCGTTGAACACGTGTTTAAAAAAGATCTATTACAAAATCGTATTTAAGCATTGGTTAAGGCTAAACATTCCTTAAACATTGTTTAAAATATAAACACTTCTTCAGGATTGTTTAATACAGTTAAAAGTTGCGTTTTGTTGAAAATTCATCCATATTCAGAAAAATTTATATCGAGTGCAAAAATAATATTGAGGTTTATTTAGAATACATGGAGAGCTTTCGGAACGCGTAAATAAACTGAACGCGAATTAATCCATTTGAGTAATGCAATGAACTTGAAAAGAAAGTATATATTGAGTGGATTGTTTGCTGGCAAAATATATGAAATTATTTAAGATGATATTCCACATAGATAAAATATAGATCCACAAATAAATAAAAGTGGCATGTGCATGTGTGCATAGCATCTGTGTCCGTACACAGCTTGTAAACATGTGCGGCGACGGGCTCGTCATCAGGCAGTCGTTGTTCCGTTTCTTCATATTATTTCGCTATAGTTTTGCTTAAACTAACTCTGATATAAATTATGTATAGAAGTATCAGTTTAAGAATGTTAATTTTATACTTATTTTTTTAATTTTGAAAATTATTAACATATTCTTCATTGAACATACTTTTTTACAATTAAAATTTGTTAAGACAAAGTTAAACATCATTTTAAAAAGTATAATATTCTTAGACATTGTTTAGTTAAATACATTAATAGTACATTATAGACACTGAAAAAGTTTAGATGCGGAAACCTAGGACAAATTAGACACTGAAAAAGTTTAGATGCGGAAACCTAGGACAAATAAACGTTGTGGTATGACGCACCGTTAGTGGTAAATAATATGTCAGAATATAAACTGCTAACACTCCGCTGCTATACAGATGCTGTGAAACACGATAGTTAATAAATTATGGCGGCACTACAAACAGTTGCCGCTTTAGGGCGGGACTAACCATTCAGAACACACTGTACACGTTTTTCGACCGAAAATGAGTTATATTCTGCAAAAACTGCAAGTTCATGTAAAAATGTTGCTATATTTGTAGTAGATTATTGTACATAGGTGATATTTATGTACACACTAACCCATGGAACCTTACCAGTTGAATAACGAAATTGATATTCAATCATCAATTTGATGATAATTCTCGGTGGCGCAGCGCATTAGCGCCGCGGCCTGCGATCGTAAGCAACTTTCATAAGGGTCTGTTCGGGACTATAAAATCTCTCGAGCTACCCCGCGATTAGAAGGCACGTTAAGCCGTTGGTCCTGGCTGCATTTGCAGTCGTTAATAGCGTCCAATCCGCATTGGGTCAGCGTAAAGTATTATGGCTCATCCTCCTTAAACATCCATAAGGAAAGCTTGAGCCCCTATAGTCGGGATAAGTATGTAATAAGGCTGATAATAATGATAATAAAATAAAGCAATATCTAGGCTTACAGACTACTCTTTTGTTACTTTATAATTTAGTTATTATTTAATTTTTCATCAAGTACGTTCAACGGATTGTCTATCACGCTTTGGTCTAGTTTTAATAAATATAAACTGTGGCCTAAGTCTAATTGTAAAATCTATCGCAATTTCTTTCAAAGGTCCTATAACGTTTAAGGTCGCAACCGCAAAAATTGGTAATATTATTTACGACCTTAAATAAGCGATATCGTTAATTCATATCTTTCAAATGACACGTCGAATACTGTGAACTATTTTAAAAATTAGACAAATGGGTAAATGTATATAAAAACTAAAGCATAACGTATATTACACATACACCTACTCAAAAGTAAATTTAATTTTCCTTCAGCCATTATATCTATAGACGCTAGCAGGATAATATGAGGTTATTATAGAATAATTTCCCACCTTCGTGTGTGATGAAATGACGAAATAGCAGTGACTCAGCGTGTCGGCATAATAACGCCAGTGTAACGATGACAGCCGCCCGAAATTGGCTTCTAATACCGAAAGAAATAGGCTGAAACAAAAATTTATATTATTAATTATATAAAGACTTAAGTCTTTGACTGTTGCTCTCTTCTTCACCATAAGCATTTATTCGTCGAGTATTGGACATATGCCTCCCCCAACGCCTTCCAGCGTGATTTGCAGGTTGTCTCATGCATCCAAGATTTGTTGGCTTCGGCTTCAACGTCCATCCGAATATATCATTATATGACTGTTGCATATTGACATTGATATCTTCTTATTATTGAAAACATTTATTGTAATATATCGATAGATAGAGCTATCAATCGTTATAATATATTATTGCTTATTTAAAAAACTAGTATATATAAATTGTTATTTAATTATGTATTAAAATATTTTTCTATAAAAAATCTAATTATCATCGTCAGTTCTTTACGTCTCCATTACAGGAAGGCCTGGATGGTTGGATGGTTAAGGTGGATGAGCTGTAACACTTCACACTTCGTGCTCGTCTCTCCGCTCAAGATGATATTTTTTTGGTCACCCGACCCGTACTAACTCTCGTGAAAGTTGCTTAGCAACGACGATCGCGGCCCGTGTCTTTTATCCACTACGCCACTGAGCTATTCTAATACCAATTAACTCTGTATAAACATAAATGACGCCATACCACAGATACACATAAAGCCAACAGCAACGCAACAACGCCGGTCGGAACTCACTCCACCATAGTTCAATCGAATAGAGCGAATATCTGAAATCAAATATAAGCCGTTACTCTCCACATGATCCGACTGCATATTTTTCATTCCAATCGAAATGAAACATACTTTTTTTTAATATGAAATCATAAATCGTAGCCAGGATTGTTCAGGAGTTATTAAAATTTCATTTCAATATTTTCTCCGATGAAGCCTGTGATGAAAATTCATTTTTTTTTATGGACGTTAATACTTATGGTATTCTCAAATTGTACGACTCGTGTAGTCGACTGATATGCATGCCGTATTCACCCCATCGCAAACTCTAGGATCCTGGGGTTCGTCGTTTAATTTATTCTAATTAAGACAAATAATAGCATAAAGGGAAACAATCATCCTCTAAATACAATAAGGTTGTAACATCGAGTACACCTATTGCTATGCCGTGAAGTTCCTGATATAAAATCACATTATTTAGCTTAGCTTTGTCTTGGATAAATGTTACCTTTGTCTTATTTAAATTTCGCACACGAAACGTATCGCTCGTCTCGTGATTGCTCCTCGGCACCCTCCGAATTGTTTCGTTTTAAAAGTTTTCTCATTTCGCGGACGCTGTTGAGTTTTTGTGCACGATTTCAACATTAAAATTTTGTCGAATATTTGATCTATTATATTTCGGAATCGTGTTTCACATTGTTCTCTCCGCGATCGACAAAAGGCATCTCTGATCAAGAATTTGAGATATTATATTTTGTTAGAACGTTCTATTATTTCATAAATACGCACAACAGCATTATTTCACAAATATACCCGATTTTAATTTTTTAATATCCACAATATTTTTGACATCTTCACTACACACTTGCTGTTTTCCCTCGACCTCGTCCGCCTTTATCCCGGAGGGGAGAAATTTTTTCAAAAATCATTCCAGTAGTTTCGGAGCCTATTTATGAATATCTTTATTGATGTTATAAATCAAAACACTAATTAACTTACTATCGATTTTTTTCTTGAAAATAAAAATACGCATTATCGATTCTCAATAGTTTCACCACACTAGCAACTTTTCCCAACCTTTCAATGGAAGATGAACTCTTATATTTTCTTTTTATTGTTACAGGCGAAATTGGAAACAAAAGCATTGAAGGCGAAGAGGCCAGGCTTTACAGACGACCGGTACAACGAGACATCGTATTATATAGAAAATGGTGAGAATCTATTGGTTGAAACTGCAATAATAAAATAAAAAGTGGTTATGCGAGCAACTAAATGGTGAGCGAGAGAATTTAATCTGGTTTTATTTTCGTCAACACTAATAAGGATTTGGCCAGATTAATTGTAGTAGGATTATGCAAATTAGAGTAATTGAAAATCGTTGACCAACTTGCAAAACTAGCTTCAATAATGGTGTCAGTATACCTATACCATCTATGTAACTACCATCAAAATATAAAATGTATTTGAAAATTTTAATAGTAAATTTTATTTTATCCAATATCATTATCAGAGTACTGCACGAAATAAGTTATATATTAATAATTTGTACATCAAAAATTGCCTAATATCCGATTGATAGACTGAGTGTCTGGTTATAAACTTCAATTCGACCAATATATGATAACTTGACCCAAATTATGTTTCGAGCATGTAGTTTTCATCAATTTCAATTATCATTATCTACCCAAATGCACAGACATTTGAAAAAATGTCCTCTTTATGGCTGAAAAAAAAAAATATTATAACACGAAACGCTGTCGTTATAACTTTTTTCATTTAATTTATCTGAGGACAAAAATTGCACGGATACGTTATGATTATCTATAGATGCGCATTTTCAAAATTATAAGTATGAGTACATAATTCGGAACTTTGTTCCCGAACGACAGATTTAGACTACAACGGTGAAATTTCAAAATGATCACTGATCAACTTTGTATGATCATTTTGTTTATCATATTTTAAAAGAAAGAAAATCATCGACCACATTAGTCCCAATGTCTAGTAATAAAAAGAAAGGAAAATAAAAGTGATACCAACATTGACCCTATCTGAGCAAAGGTCCTTACGTCATTCCTAGATTGATAGAATGGCTCAGAGGCGAAATTATTCTGTCAGAAGACATGATAGTTCTTTAAAAAATGTTATTGAAATAAATGAAGGCCGTACGGGGCAAATTCCTCTGCCCTCAATTAAAAGAACTATATGCTTTCATTATCTTGCGAACTGTCATTTCACATCTAACTTCTGGCAGCGACCTTACGCAAATCGTCATTCCACACCATAAAATGGCATCAATGGTCTACTCGTACGTTGATATGGGGCTAAGAGATTTTATTAAATCCCCTCGTTCCTCAGTTCGTGCCCATATAACTCTCGGGCAACTTATGCCATACCATTAGGAAAGGAAACTTTGCCGATAATTTTATTTTCATGAGATTTCTTGGAACAGTGCTTTGTCCCTTTGTTATTACTTTGTTAGTCGATCTTGTGATGTCTACAAAAACTTCAGTTTTTATCATTTATTCTGCTACAGTAGTTCGGATTACTATTTTAGAATAGGTTTTAGTTGAATGCTTATCATAAACAAGATAATTATAATTTTCACGATTTATATTATCTATATCGATATAATATTTACATCGTTACTTGTAAAACTGTTTAACTGCATATTTATTTGTTTAATTTTTATTTTTGACATGTAAAATTTTTGTATACAGATAAATATTTACCGTATAGTAAACTCTTAGATAATCAAGATCTTCCACAAATTATTCACGTCACGAAATTATAATAAAAGTCATAAGTAATGTTCCGGCGAAGTGTATCAATCATGTCATTAGCATGAAAGTACGACTGCTATAAATCCTTGTCCAAAAAATGCCACTCGCATTTCCCGGCCCAGTTAGTTTTTAACTATCAGGCCGCGCTCCATTATATGCTAACGGCCTTAGTCATCTAACCGCATTGCCGGTTTTTCTTCAATTTAATTTACCACTACAAGGAGCTCATTTCAGCTATGCAGTCATTTCGCGCTGTTAGAGTTTTTATTAGACAGAATTTCTTTGCACGCCTTTGCTGAATGGAGACATTATTTTCCAAAGTGTTTTTTTACAACTGTAAAAATATTGAGGTTTACGATGCTATGAATTCAGTATGAAATGGGAATTTATTTGCAAGGTTCCTTCCACTGAACTTAGCTCACGTAAAATGTTCAGTAACCATAGTGCTTGGAACTCAGCTGGAATCAAGGAGTAGTGAATCCTTTTCCAATATTGATAATGATTCTTTTTCACAGGTCTCAGAAAAGTTTATCCCTACTATTTCACATTCACGACCTTCACAAAAGGTAGATGGGTCGGTGAGAAGATCTTGGACGTGTTCGCGCGGGAGTTCAGAGCTCATCCGGCGGCCGAGTACGAGAGGTGCATCAGAGCTGGCACCCTGACGGTCAACTATGAAAGAGTTGATCCCGACTACAGACTCAAGCACAACGATCTCTTAGCAAATGTCGTTCATAGGTACTAATTCATCATTCCTAACAATTGTAGACAAAGGATAGTTTTAGGTGTATTAGCTGTACACGATCCACGCGGAAGCTTTGTACAAATACACGACACACAGACATAATCACCGATCTTCCGATAGAACAAACGTAACAACTCTTTTCCTTGCCTTGTGATTGACTTTAACTGTGATTGTCCCAAAAACAGTGACGTCTGCCTTATGGTTTTATGTGGATTTGTATCATAATGGTCCTAACCTGACACATTATAGGTAGTGTAAAATGGAAAGTAGCAGGAGCTTGTTCATTTAAAAATCTAATTGTATGTAGCGTATTGTAACATTGTATATTTTACAACGGCGAACTATCAACGAATGAGCATGCAATGGACTTGCAAATACCCAATTTCTAAACACAAACCAGCGATCATTGTAATGGCTCGTTTGGTCGACAGTCTACTTGCTACGTGTCTCCCACAATATGAATTGTATTCGCTCGTGCATGTTCATTTGCTGTTGTTCTTTTCTCGTCTAATCTGAACGGTTTTCATATGTCGAAAAACCAGTATATATCAATGGACTTTGAGCAAACGTAAACATACCTCTTCAAAAATATTTGGTTTGTTAATCGTTTCACATGTCTTAATAGTGGTGTTGTTAACAATTTTGTATATTTCTTATAAATTATTCGAAACAAGTATCGGAATAACTTTAAACCTAAATATTGATTAAATATTTATATGTGTACATATTTGACAATGAAACATGTTTGTTAAACTAACGTGAGAGTGAATTGACCAAAACACGGTAGCGAACAACGGTTTCAATCACTTTCGAATGCTGCGTGGTTTGCTCATCGTTCCCGGGTTTCCTTACTACGAACGCCTGACATGTATATGGTTGCAGGCACGAAGTACCGGTCACCAGCCAACCGATCACCCTCGTACATATCGACGAGGACATTGTGGTTGTCAACAAACCGGCCTCTATCCCCGTAAGTGGCAAATGAGACAGCCATGTTATATGCGCTTATATCACTTCTGCATTCTTATAAACATTGCATGCATGTTCGTTTACTAACTGTCGTAGTTTTTAACAAGTTCCTTATATTTTTATCGCTAATTTTGTTCATATTCTTATATCATTTATTCATCATATTTTTATATAACGGTACATCGATATTGATGAGAATATTGTATGGTAAATTTGTGTCAATAACTTGAAAAAAAAATTAATAACATGTTACTAAAAAACTCCACTTCTCTTGTGTAAATGTTTTTTATGAAATCGTTTTCTTTAGAACAATTGAGTTTCGAAAATAATCCGAAATGAATCCTGAACAAGCTCTACATTCTTATTTACCTCCAAAATAACGTTTATAATCATTTCAATGAGTTTCACAATTCACAATCCTAAGAGCTTTTATAAAAGCATTTCTAAAAAATACATCACATGCTGAAACTGAAATTAATATTCACCATTTCATTTCAAATCCAATGGAATATTTTAAGCCAGCAGTGTGTTGCCTGAAAATCCTCTTTGCTACCTCCATAAACCCCTAAAGTCCTTTACAGTTTACGCAAACCTTTGGCAAGTAATATTCAGAGTGATGTGCGACGCGGAGTATTTCTAATACTCGAGTACTTTCACAACGGATTTTGCGGCGTGAAATTGTAAGCGATATTTCTGTATTCTCATTTGGTATGCGGAGTCAGGTCGCCAATACCCGATTCCGTTTGCGATCGACCGTTGATAGATTTCACGGGAACTATTGTAATAGTTCCTTTAAATTACGTAAGTACTGATGCCTCTTAGTCGCTTCAATGGCTTCTACGATTTAACGGCTCTTTTATATTTTTGTAACATTTTGGTAACTACGTATGACACGTAAATTGTTCAAATAGATCGTCAATGTAAAAAAGTTAAACGGCTTTGCTTTTTTGGAGTTGTAGTTATCATGATTTGATTTTAAATTATTTTTATGAAAATATATTTAATATATATATATTAAATTTAAAAATATAAGTAAAAGTAAACAACTTGTGACCTACTGCTTTAAAATAAATTTATGTTAGACTAGGCAGGACATGTAAGTGCAATGTCCTGCCAAGTCAAACAATCAGCCACAATGTTATTTAAATTATTTGGATTAAGATTATCCTTAAAGATAATCGATGACAGTCATTTATTTTAAAGCAGTATGCCTGAAGTTGTTTACTTTTAGTTATATTTTTAAGTTTAACTAAATCTTGTCCTTGAGTGATTTGTCAATTTCAAGATATTGGGGTTACTCATAGTCGTTAGTAAGTCTGGATTCTGAAACATCCATGTCGAACAAAATTGGTAATATAATATTTTAAATATAAAATTTTACATAACAAAGACTTGTTATGTAAAATTTTCTAACTACAAATTGCCCTAAATAACTTTAAATATTATTATGAAATATTACTTAATGTGACTACAAATCTAGGCCAGTTCTAACTCAATCCTTAGTTTGCCTAACATGACCTTGTTATCTTCACAAAGTTGAGGGTTCATATGTTGATATCGTAATTGCATTTTGAATGATCCTCTAGTTCTGCATGGATGAAGTCTCGGTGAACGCAATATCACAATAATGTTGCACTAAATGTTAATTGAATTTCGAGATACGTATACAATTATTCTCCTAAATAAATTGTCGGAGGTTAAAATCTCGTCCTAAATGTGCACTTTAAAATAACGTGGAGGATTTTGATAAAGGACTTTTTCTCTCTTGTGCGACTATCATAACATTATATTGTTTCTGCCCTTGTTTAGTACCAAATGAAAGTTTTTTATAGTCGCATTATTATTTTTTTACTATCGATTACAGTAATAAGTCGATCTCTCTAGCGAATGTGGAAGTTGGCTTTGTAGCCTCCATAATGAAATATCCTCAAACTTAAAAAAAAAGCAAAATTCGTATCCGTCTAAATAAAACGAGACCTAAATCACATTTGTGGGTGTGGACGATAACTCACGCGCAGGACTTCATCAATTCTCCGTTGCAGGGGTGTTTTTCGTTTTTATTCGTTTAAAGGGCGCAAAAGGGCCGAAAGCGAGCGATCATTTTGATTGATACAATCACCAATGGGACGACTAAACGTGACCAATAAAGGGTCAGGGTGAAATATTACAGTATCATATTAAAATATATATATATACGTACAGTTTCAATATTATTTTATAAACTACTAAACTCATAAGCTTTCGAGGTAAAAAGGAAAAAATTTACTTATAATAGTGATTAGATTTTTTTACTCAAGGAAATTGAAAGTAAATAAATAAAATCAAACAAGGTAAGTTTTTTATTAAAAGGTTGAACCTAATTGATGTGGCTGAAACATTAACAATATATTAACGCCTACGCAACATGCTCGGTGAATTAAAGTAATGATAGTGATAACTGCATTCGTTGGCTGTTAAATGTTCTTATTTATCTCGTCATTAGTTTTCAAGCACTTTAAATACACTATCACTAACACATTCTACCATCTCAGAGTATAAACAGAATGATTCCTGCTCGAAATTCAATAAAACTTATCTACATTTTAAGTCACAATCACCCCACTCCGACACGTATTACACATTTCACGAAGAAATATGTAAATATCCCACGTCTTAATCCGTGAGGATTCTTAGTAGAATTGTTAATAAAAGCTATCGCGTACAAGCTGTTTACTATGTGATAATTCTACTAAAATTTTACCATGCTCTTGTGTGTCACAATATTGTCTTAAATGTCTTACTAGCAGATAATTGAAAAAGAATTAATTCAAAATTCCCTTAATATCTATTTACACGTTTTATCCTGTTATAACCTTTTCATTGAAGCAAAGTTCTTTGTCCAGAATTCTCGGCTTTAACCTTTAAATACCAAACCTCTTTTTGGGTGCCGAAAGGATTTTCTATTGTCATTTTGATAAAGTGGCAGCCTACAGGCTTTTATAAATGCCTTCATACATCAATGGCAGTTGCAAAGAATGCGACGTTCCCTACCTTTATAATTGATCATGGCCAGTATGATTGCTGAATATTATTTAGTTTTATATGATAATCACTAGTCGCTTAAAGTATTTATCACATATTTTACTATAATACTGTAATGTTTTCGATAACTTTCCAATCACTTTTTTGAATGAGTAGTACTGTTTCAGAATAACACTAAGTTATTATTTCTTGTTCAAAACAATATATACCTACAGTATTTTGTACTTGAAAATATGTCACATATCGTTTTGTATAAAAACGATCTAATACATATTTTATTTGGTAATTTTCAATTATCTACCAGTACATTTAGGAGTTTAAAATTCTATTTCTCAATGGCAATAACGATTATGATAGCACACGACACCGAGACCCTTAGTAAATAAATCGAACCAATTTGTCTGTTGCCTAAATTATGATACTTTATAGGCAATAGCATTTATGTAATGTATTGTGATGGCGGCCAGGCACGAAACTCCAGTTCTCGCTTACCCCTTGCGCATCATTCATGCGGATGAGGAGCTGCTCGTGCTAGACAAGCCTTGCTCGCTGCCGGTGAGTCGAAAAGGGCATCTATTTTGCTAATTTCAACGTAGCAATGGCAGCTCGATAGCGTTTCAATCAATTGTATTGTCTTCTCGGAGCCCAATGTTATTAATACACATGGCGTCTTGATAAATTTATTATTACAAATAGTTTTGTTAAGGAATTGTGTTGAAACGCTGCTGATACACCATGGTTACGTAAACGTTAGCAGAATTGAGGCTCGGGAATGACGTGGCAGACTCTGGTACGACCGTTGAACCGAGAACTGTATTAATATTGTTATAAATTAATGCCAATCTTTTTATTGACACTCAGAATGAGTAGGCGTGATACGATGATAAAGGAAATCAAACAGATATTGTTGCAGGATTCCATATTGACAGTAGTTTCAAACGAAAAGATAACATCGGTTTTGTTCTTTTCCAAATTATGTATACGAGTATAATGGCTTTTTTTGTGTGTCTAAAGTTTAAAAGAATTTAATGGAATAAATAGGCTGTAGTAGTTTGTTCTAATGCTGTAATTAAATTAAATACACTTTTTTTCTTTGCTGACATATATAGCAATTATTCTTTATTGATATTAGAATATGCCAACACAGCATTCATATATATTTATTATGTTCTATGTAATTTTGACTCACATCCTCGTCATAATGAATTTACTAGCTAATAAATATGATTTCATTAACGAATTGTACCTATTTCTTCAGTACCTTTTAAGATTCTACATTATAATTTCATGTTCTTTGTAATATTTGAGGTTGTAGAATTTGTACGTTAGATATTTCTCGGTTCAAGCGAACTTCATATAAAGTTCGCCATCAGAGTCTGACGCGAGAATGTGGTGTGCACATTAAACTTCGAGTTTGTAAAAAGAACTGTCTGGAACATTCTCGAAGAATACCACTTGAAAGTGGCACATTTGCGTTTCGTTTCACATCTAAACAAATACGATTTGTGTCCAATCAAAATGTTTCTTCTTTAACAATCCTCTTCTCCTTTTTCTTTCTTTTTCCATTCATGTGCCAAAGGAATTTCTTTAAAAATACCGAAGATTATAATTCTAAACGGTTTGTATTTTTTTACAGAAACTCTGAAAAAAATTAAATGTAATGTATTGTAACCATTTTTCATACTTGCCAAAGCTTTACCAGATCATCTTTATTTTCATCATAACATATATCAATGTATCGTTGTGTATCATCAAGACCCTTAAAAACGGGCTTTGAACTAAAAATTTCATTAATTTATCGACAAATTTTTATTGCATGTTATCATCACTTAGTAGAATATACTCTATAATCGGTTTTGTTATCTATATTCAACTCATTACTTAGCAGTACTAATATATATTCTACGAAGCAACGCTGTATGGTAATAGTCATCTTATATAATTTTATTCAAACAAGTAATTGGCAATCTGAAATTTCATGAGCGACTCCTGAATAGAATATTAAATTTCTTGTTAAAATATTGAAATGAAAATCTTTGCCTAAATTAAATTAAATTCATCCGAGCAAAAAATTGAGTGAAGTTTCGAGCTTGGTAAACGAGGAGTAATAGTGTCCCATGAGACTGAAGCATTCAGCCGTGATTTCGAGAAAAAAGTTCCTAAGATTTTGCCAAAGTGAATTTTAAAAAAGTTTCTGAACTTTTAAAAAGGGAATGCTCGAACGAGGTGTTTGTGTGGTGGATTTATAATGGAAGTGCCTTCTTCAGGTTCACCCCTGCGGGCGATACCGTCACAACACTGTCGTCTTCATACTCGCCAAAGAATACAACTTGAAAAACTTGAGAACCATTCATAGACTGGACCGGTTAACGTCAGGTGAGATCGACTACTGTTTTACATGCGACATGGTTCCAATAAGAAGCATCTTAATTTCCAAATATAGTATTAATATTTACGGTCTCTGGAATTTTTCCTATTTATAATAATTGTTACATATTTTGTTGCCCGCTTTATACTTGGCGAACTTCTTTGGTTTATTAAAGATTTTGGAATTATTAGATTCCGAGATACTAGGGCCCCCAGACGTTACTTTTTCAGAAACAAAATGTACAGAATAATGTAGTGTTAGTAAGCTATTAGTGTTTGGTAGTAGCGATGACGAAAATAAAAACTCAATAATTTACACAAATTCCTTAGTAAATATTTGTTAATAGTACAAAATTTGTTTATACACATTTTCGAGTTCTCCAGTCTTAAAGATATTCTAATATTGAAGCGAATTCAGAAAATTATTGGATCAGAGAATATATATCAATATATGTCTATTATTTTTTTAATTGACACAGTGCTTTAATAATCTATGATGATAATTCTTAACGTGAATGTGAAATGTGTTTATGTTAGTGTTGAATATAGGTATGTAAATAAATATGAAATGTTGTATATACATATGTGGGTTCCCCACAAGCGTACCTGCTAGCTTATTTCGACGGCCAACTTCCGGGTTCAAGGTGCTAAAGGCATGTAAAAATTGCATAACCTTTTTTATTTTCTCTGTGCTGCTTTTTACGTAATTTTTAGAAAATATTAATTATTATAACTGCTAGACTCATTTCGGCGGCGGTAATTTTTACCAGATGCTTCAAAACTTCCATAATAATAATGCAACTTTACTCACAATATAACAAAATATAACTGAAGGCAATCACATGTATGTACTTCACTTTTCATACCTTGACGTTCGAGCCTTCTGTTATATTCTGTGACTGTGCTCATACACATAGCGATTCATAAAGTATGTCTGGGGGGTTATTAGACCCCACCGATTGGTCTAGCTGCTCTCAAAAATTATTGAATTATTTCTCTGACTAATATACCATATATAAAAATCGAGAATGAGTTTGTAAGTAAAGCTAGTATCACTTTTACATACCTTGAGCACCTCATACCCGAAAATTGGAAATCGGTACAAGCTAGCAGGTATGCATACACTCATAGCATAAACTAATACTATTGTTGTTTTTTACGTTTTGTTCCTGAGAAAATAAGTAACTTCTGGAGGCCCTAGGATCTTGATCGAGTTTATTGTTAACTCGCCACTAAACAAGATCCCGTACATTACTTCACAAGTTAAAAAGTAGCTGAAGCCCTTTTAATGTATAAATTCTGAGATTTTATATTATATCTGCAATAAATACCAAGCCAAGTGAAGTTTAAGGTCATAATAGTTATTTAGAAGTAATAACATCTACGACGATTCAACTCATATTAACGGAGAGTTCACACATGTTTATTCAATAAGGAATTCACTTTGTGGCAAACTTAAAAAGAAACATGGCCTTGATATTAAATGGAACCCACATTTGTCTTTGTTCGCGTTAGATCCTTTTTCTTTGGCGGGCACGCTGTCTAGATACTCGAGTAATTAGCTAGATTAGTCTCCTTACTTGAACTCATATAATTTCTAATGTAATAGGTCTCTTATTATTCGGACGGAGTCCCAAGAAAGCGAGACAGATGGAGCATCAGATAAGGAATCGGCAAGTCCAAAAAGAATACGTTTGCAGGGTAGATGGAGAATTCCCAGAGTAAGTATTTAATTCAGACGTAATATTAACGTAAAATTTTAATTACAAGGTAGCTAATTAATCCTGTCTGTTTCTAATGAATTCTTGCTACTTATGCTACTTTAATGGAGGCAGTCATTAGATTCAGAAGTTAAAGTGGTAACTGGATAACTGGTCGTAATAAATGTGATACTTTTAAGATTCCGCGTAAACCGAAAATGAGCCAAAATCGGAAGGTCTGACAAAGTGAGATACGATTATGCGATATATGTGTGACTCTATAATTCGTTCTCTGTTTCTTATTGTTGTTTTTATTTAATTTAATGTAACTGTTGATTCACCTTTGAAAATAAAATGTATAGCTCCGGAAATGATTATTTATGTAATTACAAAAAAAATAGTTATTATTGTAAAATATTTTGTGGGCTTGGCTGCATATGGTAATAAATATTTGTCTCACTGTACATAAAAATCAAATACAAATATATTATTAATAATATACCTATTTATCTGATATCAAGCGTCACACTGTAAGCATTAGTACGCAGCGGACCTTTTGTCGAATCTATAAGGTGTCGTATGTCTTATCACATTTAATGTCAACGAGACGCCATGCATCTTCCATTGATATGCACTGACCCTAAGACGAAAATCCAGACGAATATAATAAATGCGAAAGTAACTGTCTGTGTGTGTGTGTTAACTTTAACGCCTAAACTACTGAACCAATTTTAATTTTATACACAGATAAAGGTTTTTTTTTATTTGTCCGATGACGTAGTGGATGCTTAACAACAACGATCGCGGGCCGCGACTTAAGCAACTTTCGCAAGGGTCGGTTACGGGATGGGTGACCATAAAATTATTATCTCGAGCTACTCCGTGCTTCGGAAGGCACGTTAAGCGGTTGGTCCCGGCTCCATTTGCAGTCGTCAATAACCTCCAATCCGCATTGAACCATCGTGGAGGGTCATGGCCCATCCTCCTTATCCATCCATAAGGAAGGGCTAAGCCCTTGTAGAGGGGACGTAAAAGGGCTAATGATTATGATTACGATAGAATCATTTTTAAATTTAATTTGATAAAAATATGAAAATTTATATTTAGTATATTTGTATTTAGATGCTATGTTTTTTTTTATATATTTAAGAAAACCAACAGCTAAAACATGGATGAGATAATGAAACAGATGTAACTTAAATTAAGCCAATAACAGGTTTCCGTAGATATTAACAATATCATCAAAAAGGTTCTCAGTAAAATTATATATATAAGGTATAATGGTCGTATTTACTAAACTTTATATAAATATCAAGTATTTGAGAATAAGCAATTAACATTTATTAGAAAGCGAGCATCTCAATGTGCAAATACAAGCAAATATGTATGCAAAACTTAGATAACATGTAAGACAGCTATGCGTCTGTTAAATGCCATTAGATACAGAAATATTTGTACAGAGACATTGCTAAAGGAATGTGGCATGGGAAATGTACTTTAGTTAATAAATAAATATTCGAGTAACTTTCTGACGGAAAGATAGTTTAAAATAAAAGACTCATCAAATCGGTCCTTTTTTTATCTAGATTTTTTTGCTAAGCACGTCAACCCCAAAATACTATCATTAAAAAGTATGATATAGTATAATTTGATTAATTATAATTAATTTTGACTACCTTAACTTAGGTACTTAAGATCTCATAAAACACCGATAACTGATCACAACTTCTGAACGCACAACATACCGACAGACTGCACAAACAGTGCAGGTGTACACAAGCTGATTACAAAAGTATTCTATCGTCTCCGTACTATGTTTGCGAGAGTACGATTTGCAGCTTGAGTCACGTACAAATAAACCTCACCCGATTCCGCAAATACACTTTGGATATTAAAATTTTTAACGTGGAATACCTACTACTTTATCGATTTTCGGTTCGGTGAGATTCCTTTGAATATGCAGTAATATTAAGATTAAATTCAGACTTTGGAACCCCAAGTTTTCTCTGCTAGTAATTTTTTAATTTGATATTATTAACTTTTAACAGTTAAGGTTATATATACAATATTCATAATAAAAAGTTCTAACAAAATTTTTTTTCAAAATTAATGTATACACGGCACGTCAGACAGTTGCGGATTAACCACATCGGAGGCCCAGGGCGGATATAGGTCCGGTTCTACAACTTTTTCCAATCGGGGCCGAAACTTGATATTGCGTTAGATTTATATTTATCATACTTTTTTAACTTTATTATATTATTATGATTTTGACGGATGGCTGCAGCTATTTGGAGACCTCCAGGCCGGATGCCGGAGGCGGACCTCCCAGCGATTTCTTCTATCGAGGCAGTTATTGAAATTAAAGTTTTTATTTTTTGAAAACATTCGACCATGTGTTTAATTTCCATAAAATGATTTTTCGATTCAATATTGATTTTATAATAACCTAAAAAAAAATGTTAATTATTCAGCTTAATTCATAATTTACAATACAAAATATCATTTAAGTCCCCTTTTAAGTATTTATCATACCTATTTCAGGAGACCTTGCTCGTCCTTTTTAAAACCCAATGCAAAAGAGGGGTATTATAAGTTTTTACTTTACACAAATAAACCTAGAATTATAATTATATGCAATCGGGTCTTGTTCGTGCATTTTTTAAAACAATTAATTTACCTCGACGTTTCGGCTACGTTACAGCAGCCGTGGTCACGAGGAGACTGGAGAACTGGCGGGTGTCGTCTTCTGATTTTAGTTGAGGGTAATCCGGTAATAATGTTTTTAACTGATTTTCAGATGTACCCTCCACTTGATTTTATTATACGTAAAGGTGGCGACACACTGCACTTACGCAAGCTGATGGGTCCCTGAAACACACTGTCTACAGGAAACCAACACACACAGACAAGTACCTCCACGCTTCATCTCATCATCATCCTCAACACCTACGTTCTGTGGAGACAACTCTTATTAACAGGGCTAACGCATTATGTAATACTGACTTCTTAGCAGATGAGTTGTCCCATGTACAGGACGTGCTAAGGAAAAATGGATACAGCGCAAGGAGGTCATACCCTATCCGAAGGTGTAAGGAAAGACTACCTAAGGTTCCCAGGCAACGGGCATTTTTAGGCTATGTTAAGGGAGTAACGGACAAAATCGGTTCCATTTTGAGGAAAAATTTTTCTATAGACACCATTTTTACTCCTTTATCAAAAATGTCACACCAATTGCGATCACCAAAGGATAGTATTCCTTACCAAAAACCTGGCGTTTATAAAATTGACTGCAGCTGCGGTAGTTCATATATCGGACAAACGAAGCGGACTATCGCCGAACGTGTAAGAGAACACATAGCAGCGGTCAAAAATCGTCAAGTGGAGAAGTCCGCGATTGCAGAGCACTTATTATCATCTGGATCAAACCACTGGATCGAGTTACATACACCTCATGTCCTTTCCACTGAACGACATTACTATCCAAGGATTGTTCGTGAAGCGGTTGAAATCAAAAAACACAACAATTTCAACCGGGAAAGTGGATATAAACTCTCACCAACGTGGAATCCGGTTATAAAAATGTATAAGTGTCACGATCGCAAACAACCACGAACAGTATTCTCGGATACCGTAAGTGCAGTGTGTCGCCACCTTTACGTATAATAAAATCAAGTGGAGGGTACATCTGAAAATCAGTTAAAAACATTATTACCGGATTACCCTCAACTAAAATCAGAAGACGACACCCGCCAGTTCTCCAGTCTCCTCGTGACCACGGCTGCTGTAACGTAGCCGAAACGTCGAGGTAAATTAATTGTTTTAAAAAATGCACGAACAAGACCCGATTGCATATAATTATAATGTATACAAATCGTGTGAGTTTAAAAATATTATAAACCTAGAATAATATTCAGCATTATCATATTCCGCTGGATTTGAGCAGTGGCACAGGACCATCGCTGTGGAGACCCATGGGGAGGCCTAGTCATAGGCGTCGAACGGCTGATATGATGATTATCCTACTGTAACAACCTGATGATGTAGTCTAATTTTCATTTACATTGTCACAGTGAAGAAATAGAATGCCAAGAGCCGATCGAGGTAGTGAGCTACAAGATCGGAGTGTGCAAAGTATCACCTAAAGGCAAAGACTGCTCCACGGTATTCAAAAGATTAGGCTACAACGCCAGATCTAACACCAGCGTCGTACTATGTAAACCGAAGACCGGGCGTATGCATCAAATCAGGGTGCATCTACAATACTTAGGTAATTATTTTACTAACCCAAGAGTTTTAATTAGCTGCACTGTGATTATGTGAGCTCGATGACGGAATGGTTACCGCGCTCGGTCTGTGATACGTTTTGTTAAGCAACTTTCATAAGATGTCAGACTAAAAATTTTAATATCTCGAAATCCACCGTGCTTCGGAAGGTACGATAAGTCGTTGGTTGTGAGTCATGGTCCATTCTCCCTATTTAATTCCATTCATAGGAAAAGCCTGAGCCTCAGCAGTGGAGACGTTAATAGGTTGGTGAAGAGTGTGATAGACCCTCCTATTTCTAACTAATCGCGTCAGTACGGATAATTGCACACGCGCGTAGACAACCGGCCGGCGCGGCGGCCATATTTTTCGTCAATACTTACAAAGGTCGGCAAATAATCCGGATAAGTGGTTGAAGTTTAATATAGTTCCTTATGTAACAAATTGACGAGTTTCATTAAAGACAATCTCTTAATATTTAGAAGATGAATTATTCATCAATAATTTTTACACAACACCCCAATTAACTCATTTGTTTCCGATTATGATTGCCATCGTCTTCAATCTTTTATACTTTTTCAACTTAAAGTATTTATTTCACTACCACAATTAGATTTAAGTTACAATTGAGAGAAAGAACCAGTTTTTGAGTTAATAAAATATAGAAAATAGGTAGCACCTATGTCGATTTTCAACAAAAATAAGACCCAGGAATCAGAAATTTGTACTTCCAATTTTTTTTTCTTTAGGCTACCCAGTGGTGAACGATCCTCTATACAATCATCCGGTATTCGGTCCTCTGCGTGGCAAGGGTGGTGATACAGGTGGCAAGACAGATGAGCAACTAGTGAGGGACCTCATAGCCATACACAATGCGGAGAACTGGCTCGGGGTAGACGCCGCTGACGACGACTTGCTCTTCTCCAAACCAGCATCGGATGACAAAGGTATAGATCAAATAGACATTGAAACTCTTTTTAGGTTTCCTATCCATTTGCATGTTACACATAATATAACATGACATAATTTTGTTTGACCAAATTATATTTACGCATAAAACGCATGGCATTTGCATGGCCTCTTTTCACAGTTTTATAACCTATAAATTGGTTCTTTCATGTTCTTTCAATAACATTATGCGAATGAAAATTATGCCAAAATTTCGCTTAAAATATTATGATATTTATGTCAACACAAACCGTAAACCAATAATCAATTTATGGTAAAATATTATATTTGATCAATTTTCATTCACAATTCTATACTGAAAAATATTCTTAATGAAAAGTTCTTAAAAGCTGGTAGGTCCTGGGTAGCTCAGTGGTTAGAGCAGTCGTCCGAATTGCAAAAGGTCAAGGGTTCGAGTGCCATCACAGACCGCCAGGGACAAAGTGATTTTTTTAAGTATATTTCATTAAAATATGGTAAAATATTTTTAATATCAAAACGGTTATGCAATAAAAACAATATGCAATATATGCATATACAGATGTTGAAATGAAGAATGAATTAATTAGACATTGACCTCGCCTTCCACCACATTATAAAAATAACTATTTCATGTTAACTTCGAAATAGAAATTTATATGGGTTTTAATAAAATTGAATAGTCAGTAATGTTGTGTTTACGGTACAGTTGGCGAGGATGATTGTGATACGGGTCCAGCGTCCAGGGAATCTTCGCCGAGATTGGAATCACCTGCTCCCGGGGTCACGCCTTCCACTATATTAACACGTAAGTCTATACTTATATTATATGTAATTTAAAATAAGGGTCTTCAAATAATTCAATAGATGTCAAGGGTGGTATCATTAGCTTATTTATCAGCAGGCTAGGGTAGAGTGGGCTTAATGTATAGCGATTTATAGAATTATCTAACTTTTAAAATCTCGTTTTCAGAATGAATGATGATTTAAACGATCGATCAATCGATTTTGTTTAATGGTAATGATTAGTCCACCTTAATATCCAAAAGATAATTTCTTAATAATTACATTTAATCAATTTTGCGCTCACAAAGCAACAATGGTTTTTTATTTCTTATTTTTTTTTTTTAATAATATTTTTTTATTATAATTTTAATATTTGTATATATTTTTTTTGTATATATTATAATTTTTTAATCATAAATTCTTACAAATCCAACAATTTCAGTTCCCACGTCGGGTACCTTGGGGCTGGTTTTCTATTTTAAACTTTCTATTGAGATGAAAACGTGTTCTAATTATTATGTTTGGCCGATTTTTCATTCACTTTTAAATCTCGTATACTTAACGATGATAGGAAATAGGAATGAACCGTCTCAAACGAAGAAAAATGAGCAATCAATCAGCTATCTAGGTTTTGTGACTTGACTCTGTATATTTTGCAATTTAAAAAAATAAATAAATAAACTAATGTAGCGACCATGCCGAGTCCGTCGAGCGGCGCGGAGGCCCCCGCGGAGGTGGCCACGCCCCCCTCCTGCACGCTCGCCCCCTCGCCGGTGGCATCGCCCACCCTTAACGAGGACTCCAACGATGCCAAGGTAATGCTTCCACGGGACTTTGTTCCGCTGGCTGGCGCAGCACAATTGTAAAATAAAGTACGCTTTGCACACCGGCGATATTTACAATCGTTACGCACGCAAGGAATAATCTAGATTTGTCGGCTAAAGGGAATAGGTAATGTCGTTTTGTCTTGTTTTCATTGTATGTGCGCCAATATATATATAATTTCAAAAGAAAGTATAACATTTTGCCAATGTATAATTCCGTGATTAAACTTTATTGCATTAAAAACAAATACATAACACAAATAGTAATATAAATATACATGCAAAAGACGACCTTATTGCTAAAATTACATAAGAAAGGCTAAAGATGAAAATCATTTGTAACATTAGTACGTCAATAATGGCATCCACTCATGATGTGGCTCCCCGTAAGTGTAAGAGTTTTTATGTTTGGACCAGTATTATTTTATATGAAGATTACTATCTACAAACTAACAAACAAAGTTAGAAACTTTACTTGTTTAAAATGAGAATAGATTATGCTACCTTTTCAAAAAGGTTTTTCTTCAATTTCGAAAACGAATCATATCAATGATATTTATTTATATAAATTCACCAACGTCCTATAACAAAATAACATCTAGACCATAAGCAAAGTAAAAGAAAATAGGCTATGAATAAATTCCGAATTCGAACCCTTCTTTCAGTCTGACAAAGTGACAGTGGCCACGCAGACAGGCTGCACTCCGGCGGCGAGCTCGTCATCGAGTACAGCCGCCGACGCGCTGTCGCCGGACCCGCACTGCTACGAGTGCCGCGTACGATACAGGGACCCGAGGCCCAGAGACCTCGTCATGTACCTTCACGCTTGGAAGTACAAGGTAGGCCAAACACAAATATACAAGTATTCTGTCGCTTCGATGTTGGCAGAACGGTCTTGAGTAGAGGCAAAACTGTCAGCTTAAAAATTCTTCATTTTATTTCGTTTTTAATGATGAACATTATTCCCTAAATAAATTAAGTTATTATATTTGAGCAATTTTTAAAACTTAAAAAATCCTGTTTACCCTGGCACTCTTAGATGGGACTCGAAAACATGACTTTTCGCATTCCGGGCAACTGCTCCAACCACTGAGCTACCCATGACCTAACAGGACTGTTAATTCTTCAAGCACTTGTTAGTTTTTCGCTACTACAGAGACCCACAGACCCAAAATTAAGTTGTCCAAAATATCTAACGGTAATAAGATACTTTCTTACATAGGCGTAAAGCTTATTTATCTCTTATAAACAATGCAAATTGTATCTATTCATTCATAGGGACCCGGCTGGGAATACGAGACGGAATTACCACAATGGGCGAGTGTCGAATGGGAGGAACCGGAGAATTCATAGTTACAAGTTCTGACCCCACTACGCAAGCGCCTCGCAACCGTACTGCACATCTCACCAAGAAACAAGTATACAAGACCATAACTCAAATAAACAAGGAGGTAATAGATAAGCTAATAAACCTAGGAACATTTGAAAGAAATTATGAATAAAATCAATGAATTATCAGAAAAAAAAGTATGAATGTACCAACTTCATTTGTAATCGGAACCGTGCGAGGCGCTGACAATGATAATGTTGGTACTCATTTGGCTGTTATCTATGGCATAGAGTGCTCTGACGTATTTTTTTTTTTTTTGTAAAATAAGTGAGAGTTAGTGTTTAAGGTTAGTATTATGATTCTTTCATTCAGTTGCCGCACTGTCTTTAACGTTATCTTACTTTGTTACTTTGTTTTTCCAGTAGTTTATAGCTACTGTTTGTTTCTCCCTGACGTTCACAGTATATCCTACTAGTGTGGTAAATTTAATGTTGCGTTACTTATCATTTTTCAGTTCCTATCGGCCTATAATGATTTGTCAAGCTTGTTGTAGATTAGAATTAAGTATATAACGATTTGTAATAATATTGGTAACATAATATAGTTATATATCGCTTTAACGAGGCAGGGTCAGAACCACAATCATAAATGAATTATAATATTAAAACGAACATTTTAACCATTTAAAAGGGATACTAGCTCTTCCAAATTTTCCCTATACCGATTTTAGATAAAGCTCTCGACGTAAATAGTTACTTTATAAAAATACGCGTACATACGTAACTTAATATTATACTAACATTATTTATTCTATATTCATATAACCGTTTCGAAATTATTAAAGTAACTATTGTGGAAGAAAACTTCTTGATTTCCACCAAATCTTGGACCACGCCTATATTTTCGTAAATTCTTGATGAGAAAGAAAATTTAATACATAGGACCATCGTTTTAAACCGTTTTTCAAAGACTATCTTGAATTAATAGTCTACAATAACTTATAGGATAAGATAATGAAAAATTATGTCGCATTTTGATGGAGGGCGTTTAACTGCGTCGTCGTCATGTTTGGCTTCCATAGTTTTCAGTAGACATGTTTTAAAAACGTATGTAAGGTATCTTGGAAATTTTGTACTATTAAAATTATATATATATTCGCTGTATTGCGATTGATATTGCTTTTTGAATATTACGTTTGACGTCATTTAAGGCCAGTTGTGATATGCATTTACATGTTTTATCTTCATAAATTGATTTTCCATGCAAAAAGACAATTTCAAATGATCTTTATTAAAAAATAAAACCAAAGTAACAGCTGGAGGCGAACCTCCAAAGTCAAATTAGTTTTTCTTATTTAAATAGTGAAAAAAAAAACAATTCGATAGCATTTGAAGCAGCACGTTCGAAAGACATGATCCTAAGGTTTTTCTTTTTATTTTATGTATGTATACGTTTATAAATAAGTTTGCTTTTTTCTTTTTTAACAATAAGTCAATTGAAAATGTAATTTGATTGATGCAAAGTTTAAAACATTTTCTCGGATTGTTTCCATTTCTGACAGCTGTCACTTGAAACAAATCATTCGACGCTGGCTGGAATACTTGGATTTAACTAGTATTTATTGTAGCGTTTAAATAATTAAAAAAATATATTAAAAGACAATTTCGTGTGACTACTTAAATATTTTCACGAGCTTTCATAAATTAGTTCGATATAAAATTATATATTTTTCTTACTTGTAGTGTATTATGTAGAATGTAGCGTGCGATATACCGGTTTTGTTATATATTATGTATAGCGAAACGTTTTGAAACAAACAACTTTCGATGCGTACACTGAGCTGCCATAATCACGAGTGATCAAAATCAATTGTAAGAATTATGGCACGGAGTACTTTGGGATCAAACTGGAAACTCTTAGGTGCGAATGAGGAAAACTGATGAATTCAAAGAATCGAAGTTGCTTGTTCTAAAACGTCGCGGAGTGTTACGGCTGTACATGTGTATATACGTCTTAATTAATCACGCCGCTGTTTATTATTTCAATATCATCAGTGCATGCTGGTTCTAAGAATTATCTGATTTGGGATCAAAATAATTAAATTAGATTTCATGGGTAGATTATAGACGTTTGATGCTGTTCGTATTAATGTTTACGGATGGTCTATTCGGGTAACCCCTTTTTCGATCCTAGTGATCGATGTTATTGTGTTTCATCGGACAAAATGGACTTTAGCATGTACAAAATAAGGTATAATCTGTGGCATATCACCTAGGTACCACTACGATGGATTTTTTTGACATTATAATATATGGATGTACTACGATTCGTCAAATAAATTACACCCGACGAACATTGTTGTATTTTTATATAGTATGTAAGTCCTGTTTCATAAGTATGTGTTACTCATATGTCACTGCGTTTATATGCTGAAGCGGGTAGAGAACTACTTACTTTTGTACTTAATGACACACGCAAGATTTATATATAGTCGCTTAGTAACGATATTTTAATTCTATCAAACTATGTATATGTTTCGTTTGAGTTTGAGAAATTCCGTTTTTGACCCATGTTCGTTAATTTGGTTGGTAATACTGAAATACAAAATGGTGTCAATCAGATCGAAGCTAATGTTGCTAGAATATCATCGATGGTTTTGGCTAAACTGTCGATAGTATCGAGATTCAATACGTCGGGTGGTATCGTTAATGTCATAAAAACTTCTTTTTATACTTCAAATAAATCACTATCAAGTAACAGAAAAGCGCCTAGTGTGGTTATTTGTAGTGATACGACATATGACTTTTTAACATACTGTACGTAATAAATATGGTGTCCGTTTCCATTAATTTAACCTCCGAAGATTTCCGCAAATAATGAATGCTAACATTACATAATATTACGAAGTATTATACGTGTAAATATTAGAAGTGGACACGAACTTAAGTTACTAAGCGACTGTTATAAATGCTGCGCTCGCGCACATTTGTGTGTCATTAAAGTTCTTGTATTTAGTCACACTGTTTGGCTTAATATAATATATATTTACTATGCAGAAGTATTGTAAGTGAATATACCTATAATGGTGACTGATTGACCTTGAAAGGCTGGTGACGTTGTTTCTATGCGCAAGAGCATACCTACTTGCATTCTAGTTTCTGTCAAGTTTGCGGAATAAATCTTTTTTGATTTAAGCGCTGATCAGTTTTCTTTTTTTTTATAATCAAAGAAATGTTTATCCGTTGAAACAGCAACAATCTCGATTTATTCATTTATTTATAAGATAAATTTTCATGTGCCTTCTCAAAATAATGATGATGAAAAAAATAAAGATAAAATGTAAAAGTATGTTTTTAATTATTACAGAAATTGTTACACGTTTTTAAACATAAGTAGGTTACATTTGGCACTTACGAGCTTAAATAGTATGAAGTGTGAATAGAGGAATCGTCTAGTTAAAAAGCAACCTTAAGTTATAAGTTATATTTTTTGTTATAACGTAATGTATCTAATTCCATAGTCGCAAAGATTTATTTTTAAATCTTTCTGGAATATAGTTGCCATAACCAAAAAATGTGACGTAATAATGTTCTGTGGATGAAATCCTCTAATCGCCCTTTAATTGAGCACGTATTCGGCACAATTTTGCAAAATAAACGTTTTTTTTTAATATTTTGCATAATTTGAATTTATTGTTTTTTTTTCTTGTCTAATGAGTGTTTTCTCATAGTGAATACCGTATTGTCGTGCCATACAAGATGGCTTACGTTAAATTATTTAAATAATAATTTGAACGAGGATAAAAAGAAAGACATTTGTTGATTTGATAAGTATTTCATAATTATTAAGAATATAATAGTGTTTCCTTCTTTAGATTCATGTTATAAGAATTCATGTTTCCACTTAAATTTAATTAGAATAAAAAATAATTATTGATCACTTCGTTTCATTTCTGCCATTGTTAATTATGACTTAGATACGACTTATACTAGTGGAATAGGTATGATGACAATTTTTTGTCCGTCACACATATTATTGAAGAAATTAATCGCGTATTTTTTAATTAATAAATTACGGCGATACATTGAGTTGAAATGTAGCATCAAGTCTCACCTTTGTACATTTTCTACATAGTTGTGACGCAACGAGCCCCCACTCAACTTTAATGCCTATTATCTAAGCTACTTTTTGTTGAATTGAAGTAGAAAAAAGTACGTATTACATATTTTTCTATTATATGACTGACGGACTAAATTAATTTTACTATCTCGAGCCCCTCTCGTGCTTCGGAAGGCGCGTAAAGCCGTTGGTCCTGACTGCATCTGCAGTCGTTAGCACCATACCATATTGGGGCTGCGTGGTAGTCCATGGCCCATTCTCCGCCTTCGATTTATTCGATTCCATCGATAGGGGAGGCTTGAGCCCCAGCACTGGAAACATTAATAGGCTGGCGATGTTGATTCTACAAAGGTTATAGAAATTTCTATATTGAACTCAATTGAACCTAGTTCACAGCGAAATGAACCTAGGACCTCAGAAATGGCGATACCTTGAAATCGGCGTACATGCGAATATTCGGTAATAACGCATAAACTAATCCTAAACTAAATAAATAAAAATACTTGTGTTAAGGATATCTAAGACTACAAAAGCATCGCAATACTAATAAATTCATTTTTTACATTGACTCGAGAAGATTGAAAGAGCTAAAATTACAATTTACAATTCTTAGAAACTTATATATTATTTAAATGTCAATTTCAGATTTTATATATAAATATTATATATATCTCAAAGATGACTGACCGACATAGTGATCTATCAACGCACAGCCCAAACCACTGGACAGATCGGGCTGAAATTTGGCATGCAGATAGATTTTATGACGTAGGCATCCGCTAAGAAAGAATTTTGATCAATTCTACCTCCAAGGGGATTAAATAGGGGATGAAAGTTTGTATAAATCTTCTTAGATTTTCGACTGATTGAACTGAAATTAAAGATTGGAGCTACTATGATGAAGACGTCCGCTTAAATAGGATTTTGACAAATTCAACCCCCATGGGGATAAAATAAGGGATGATGGGGGATAACTTTACCACGCGGACGAAGTCACGGTCAAGAGCTAGTATCAAATAAACAACAGGTTCAAGAGTTTTGAATGTAAAATAATTTTTACATAAAGTAAATTTAATATCATATGTAATAAACTATGGATGTTATGTTATTGTTAGGGAATACGCAAAGGGGACTCTGTTACTGAGACGTGGCTGTCCAGCCATCTATCTGTCCGTCTGTCACCAGGTTGAAGGTCATGAAACTTTATAGCTAGACAGTTGAAATTCTCACAAATGGTGTATTTCTGTTGCCACTATAGAAAAAAAAACTAAAATCAGAATAAAATAAATATTTAAAGTTACTACAACAAACGTGATTTTTTTTTAATATTTTCTAAGATGGAACGGAACCCACCGTGCCCAGGTCCGACTCGCAGTTGGACGGTTTTGCTCTACTGTTCACAACTACACTGGTTCACGTATAAACACTTACCTTAAAACGAACACATAGATGGAAGAAAAAATGTTTCCGAAACTCGGATGAATACTTAAACGCAAAAGGAGTCTGAAAACAACGACGGATTACTACTGTCAAATGTAATTTTGAACTTTATCGCGTCGGTAATAAGATTTGTAAGGGTTCAACACAAAGGTGGGCTAGCAGAGAAAACTCTTTGATCTTCAGAATGTGTTATGTGAAAACCTAAATAAAACGTTAAGAAGTTTAAAATAATACAAATAACGTCAAGACAAGTCTTGAAATGAGTTTTACGTTCAGTTGTTGTAAAAGAACAAATACTTTTATCTTTTTTTTAAGTTTCAACCATATTCGTACCTACGTGTTTAAGGCATTTCAAAAATCACAAACATTCAATAGTTTATGTACAATCTAGTGTCAAAATCTGCACTTGATTTCAAACCTTAATTTGTTGTACGTATAAAGTTCAAAAATTAGGAAATTTTAGATATTATGGTAGCCTGGCATAGGATTGTGTGCACAAAGAAATGACTTCCTAATAAATTGTGATTGAAAACGAAAAAACTACATCGTATGTATAAGAGTATAGATCGGGGCAAATCAGTTTTAGGGTTCCGTTCCCAAAGGGTAAAACGGTAACCCTATTACTAAGATTTCGCTGCCTGTATGTGTGTCTGTCACCAGGCAGTATCTCATAAACCGTGACAGTTAGACAGTTGAAATTGTCACAGATACTGTATTTCTATTGCCACTTTAA